CAAATTTATAGAAAATAGTATCAATATTCATTATGTCTTTAAATAAGTTTATTATTAAAATATAATTCATAAGTAATTTAATTTTATTTATTTGGTATCATACATGTAAGTAATTTTTTATATAGATTCGGTCAAATTTGAAACTATTTGATATTTTAGGAAATGAGAATTACATTTTTTTTAAATGGAGGGCGTATATATATGTGTAGTATGTCCATTTCTCACAACATGCGCTAGCTCCATTTGTCTGTATATCCGCCTGCTAAGGGATCGGAGGTCAGGCAAGATAATTTGGCTCCGACTCCAATCCCTGGTTTTAGAGACACTTATCCTCAGGATAGCCGCTTGATTTGCTGTTTGTGTAATAAGAAGGGCATTCTCACGGCTGTCTTAACCTGCTGCACTGTCCTTGTGCTGCAGCGTTTAGGTCCGGGCCCGGGTCTCTTCATCCAGCCTGTTCGTTTGTTGTTTCAGCCAGCCAGTTAGTCAACAGTGTTTTTCTCTCACAACAAACCAGTATCAGCCGAGCTTATCAGTCTAGAAACCAACCAACGAACAAGTTCATCCTCACATTGAGCATACCCTGTTATATAACAAATAACACCTTTTTGAAGTGCAAGTGTAAGCAGTTATTGTATAAGAATAGAGGTGTTTGGTTGCTGCGGCTAAAGTTTAGTCCCTGTCATATCGGATGTTTAATATTAATTTAGAGTATTAAATATAGACTAATTATAAAACTAATAGCGTAGTTTGAAACTAGTTTGCGACACGAATTTATTAAGCCTAATTAGTTCATAATTTGACAATGTTGTGCTACAGTAAATATATGTTAATCATAGATTAATTAGGCTTAACAGATTCGTCTCGCTAATTAGCCACGACTTCTATAATTAATTTTATAATTAGCTCATATTTAGGCCCTGTTCGCTTTGCTGAAAAGCCGTGACTGAAAGTATTGTTCGTTGATTTTGTTGTGAGAGAAAAACATTGTTCGTTCGCTGAAATAATACGGCTCATAAGACAAGCGAATAGAGCCTAGTCCTCTTAGTTAGCATCATTCAAACATCCGACGTGACACGAACTAAACTTTAGCCCTGGATCCATACCTTGCTATCTGCTCACACCATAACTGATTTGGCACGTACATGTCAGCTAGCCGGACTAATTGGTTTGGCTCCAACCTAACTTGCAGACAACCAGCATAGACATACAAATGCAAACCCATTCACACTACTGCCAGAGCGACATGAAGATGGATTCCCACATGCTGTTTTTTTTTTTTTTTGCCTTCTTAGTTTTCAAACTGGATGTAGTTTTTAAACCCATCCCTACCTCTCCAACATCCACGGAGTTGAGAAATTTCAATATTCCACATCCAGTTCCCAAGCCTCACAAGATTTGATATTCAATTGGTCCGTCTTTCGAAATTTAACACTAAGACTGCAAATTGTTTTGATTTCACTCATTTTCTCTCATTTTCCTTTTCCTATAATGTTTTCACCTCTCCGAGCCACCTAAAAGGACCAAACTACCCCTGGCCTAATCGAACATCGACTCCCTTCTGCTTCCTTCAGTCGCAACTCACGCAAGCAGAGCAGGAGTCGCGAGACGGACCAGCGGCCGCCCATGCGCCGCTCGTCTGCCGGACCTCCACCACCGGGGTGCCCCCTCCGCCCCTCCCCTCTGCCGCCCAACAGGCTGCCATGAAGTTGCAGCAGCCAAGCCTAGCCACCAGACGGCTAGGGTTTTGGCTGGGCCTCAGGAAAAGGCATGGAGCGCCACCTGAACCCCGCAGCGAAGCCAACGGTCCATGGAGTCGGCAACCTTCTCCTTGGTGTAGCTGATCCTTTCCACCAGTGGGCCGCTGCAATCCTGCAGATGAAGTCGTGCTTGCATGGATGCGCTGAGCATTGGGGAGGACGGCGGGGCGGCGTGCAGTGGCGAAGCCGTCGGGCCATGGTCTTGGCATGGCAGGAACGCTGGCCAGCGCGATAAGACAAGAAATCATACTAACTAGTAGGAGTAGCTAACAGAAGAACAGTTCTCCAAAACAAGGAAGGGGTTGAGTTGCTTGGTGCACAGGAGCCAAGCCCCTTGTGCCTACAGGTCTGTTCTAATCAGGCTAGGGGTAGTTGGTTCTTTTAGATGGCTAGGATAGATGAAAAACATTACAGGAAAAGGAAAATGAGAGAAAATGAGTAAAATCCCTTGAATCAAAATAATTCATAGTCCCCGTGTTAAATTTTGAAAGACAAACAAATTGAATATCAAATCTTGTGAGACCGGCGAATTGGATTTCAAATAATGAAATTTCTCTACGGAGTTCGATCCACACCATCGATATCTCTTTTCTCTCTCTCTCATCAGTATCGATTTAACGTCATGTACGTGCATAATTGTTCTCCTTTCTTCTTCCATCATTCTCTCCTCTAGTACTCTCCTTCTCAAGGAAGTGTCATGCACCTATACCTTTATTAGTAGGGTGGAGTTGACAACACAACAATATATATACATACAAAACACACACACACACAAAAAGATCACAACAGAAAGATACAAATTAAACAAAGCAGCCAGCTACGAACATGAATAAAGAAAATATTAAACACTCGTGAATTTTCTAGCGACCAACAAACGTGAGCGACCAGGAGAGGCGTACACGAAATATTCAGACCGCACTAGCAGCTTCCACCCCCCAAAAAAAAAAGAACGCACTAGAAGCTTAGCATGCACGATCCCAAAATGAGGGCCTCGGGAACGACCCCGACCGTTCCATTATTCCATATGCCCAACTAAAATACATTCTTAAGAAACAGATGGAGTAATAATAGGTTCTTTTGCCAAAATCAAATAAACATACTATACGTAATTGCCATTATTCCTTTAGACAAGAGAGGGAAAAGGTAATCCCTCTATCCTGGAATACATAGTGAAATTTTAGGGCACATCATGTGGATGTGGGAAATAAGGGATTTGCTAAATTTCAAGTGTTTGAATTTTAGTTTTTTCTTTCAGTCGACGGTTATTGCACATATTTTATACTTAAATTGTAGTTTTAGTTCATTGTAGACAATCTGCAATTTTTAGTTTCGAGACTAAAAAAAAGAAAAAAAATAGAAAAAAAAAGAACGCACTAGAAGCTTAGCATGCACGATCCCAAAATGAGGGCCTCGTCAAGGTGCGGAACGACCCCGACCGTTCCATTATTCCATATGCCCAACTAAAATACATTCTTAAAAAGAAACAGATGGAGTGATAATAGGTTCTTTTGCCAAAATCAAATAAACATACTATACGTAATTGCCATTATTCCTTTAGACAAGAGAGGGAAAAGGTAATCCCTCTATCCTGGAATAAATAGTGAAATTTTAGGGCACATCATGTGGATGTGGTAAATAAGGGATTTGCTAAATTTCAAGTGCTTGAATTTTAGTTTTTCTTTCGGTCGACGGTTATTGCACATATTTTATACTTAAATTGCAGTTTTAGTTCATTGCAATTTCTGTAGACAATCTGCAATTTTTAGTTTCGAGACTAGAAAACCCGTTAGACAAAACCACAAACCTGATAAAATCTGATATGTGTTGGCACAAAGATAACTTAACAATTTACAATTATTTTTGTAGTCAGACAAGGATAAAAATTTGATATGTTATGATACAAAGACAAATAACAAATCACAAAAGTGACAATAGTGATACTTTACTTGTACTAATTGGTAGTGCAAGAGTGTTGGTTGAGATTATCTTAAAATTCAAGTATCTGAAATATAGGAAAAGTGGGTGTAAATAAAATGACACATATAATCCTTTTCTAGTTACCATGTTTAGATTAGTAATAGAAATTAATGATAGGTACGCAGGTAAATGTTGGCTTTTAAATGGAGTTGGACAATTATTTTATCTAAAATCCGTTATAATTTAGGATAAATTTTGAATGCTTAGATATCTTGTATTTCTGGACGGATAGAGCAGGTACCTCCGAATTTCATCATGCCCACACATACTTATGTAAAGAGATATACTATTGGCAAAAATGAAAAAAAAAAGGCATCACAAGATAGCTTGAGACAATAAGGTATAGACCATACCCAAGTGGATAGGTCTACTTTCTCTTAATAAAATACTCCTTACCTCAGCGCTACAGCCGCGAAAAAATAGGCCTTTTATGCCTAGTATACCTTGTATATGGCGCGTTGCACAACCTCGTTGTTGCCGATTATACCAAGATAAATTAAAGGAGTAGAAAGTCAGGAGGCAAGGTGAAGAGGTGTTGTTGTGTGAGCAGCTATAACACATTAACACGGATAAACAACAATGTAACAAATTGGATTTTACAATGGCCACATTGAAAAAGGTTGTTAAGGATTTCATCTATATACTGCAACCGAGTATTTTTCATCATCACCCCACCACGATCGAGTTTGTCTCTATCCAATGAGTTTGCCTTCAATTACTCCCTACCTATTTTTGCTACACGGGATAAATTCCAAGGAATTCCTAGTCACCCACGGATGCTGCTGCCACGACAACCTCCGCGTTCACACTCCCATCTGTCTTCTCTCCCCACACCCGTAACGTAAAGGAAGAGTGCGCGCGCCCGAGCTCGGTCGGCGTCCGAGGCCGCCGTGGAGGTGGGTGGGACCACCCGCATCCCGCGCCCACGCGTCGACACCACCACAAGCACGCAACCGCCGGACAAAAGCCACCGGGCCCCACCCGCGACGGGCGTTCACACCTGTTGCGTCCACACACATGAGCACGACACACTGAGCGAGCGTCGGGTTCACGCGATTGGCCCGATTGCGCTCTCCGCTCTCCTGCCTCTCCGCCTGCCCCCGGGCCGGGTATTTAAACGCCGGCCGTGGCGACCACCAGAACCACCACCACCGCACCCCCCCTTCCGCTTCCGCTGTTCATTTGCTCCACGGGCCGCCTCAGCCTGCCGGCGCCGCCACTCCTTAGTCCGTACACACACACATATACCCGCCGCGCGCCGCCATGTCTGCCGCCACTGCTTGCATGCCCCTGGTCCCTCCTCCGTCCCCTCTCCATGGATCGGCGGCAATGGCGGCCGTTGAGAGGCGGCAGCCCGGTGCCATGGAGACCGCCAAGACCGGTTCCGAGGGAACGGTCGTCGGCTGCGTCATCAAGAGGTACACACGCACAGAAACCTCTGTTCATGACCAATCATTATTCTCGATAGCCTAGCTCCTCGCTGGCTGCAGCTGTGCCCGGGTGGCCGGCCGGCGTAACCATAAACGCCCGTTGCTGGTTGACTTCACCGACCGGCCGGCCGGCCGGCCAGCCTCCTCCTCCTTGTGTGCCTTCACCATTTTGCATTAGTATTTTTGGTGACATACTTGATCTGACAACACATATGTGTCGAATACTCACTCCATCAGCAGCCATGGCAACGACGAGGACTGTGCTGGGGACGACGACGGCGACGCGATGATGAGCAGGCCGCGGGCGGTGGTCCAGACACTGACGTGCGAGCGGAAGCCCTTCTGTGAGGGCTTCGCGTTCTGGCGGAGCATCGGCAGGTAACCAAACCACCCACCCATTGATCCATCCATCCATCCATTCTGTTCCGGTCGACTCGCAGTCGGCAGGATCAATCTCATTCTGTAATACAAATCCTCATGCATGTACAAAACTGATATGATGATAATTATATTATTAAGCTGTGATCTTGCTGCGTGCAGGCCTGAGCTTCCGGAACTGGATCCTATCTTGTCCTTCGACGAGTTCGAGTGTATGTTATTAACATCGCGATTATACGCCCCATCAAAACTGCTGATGCAGTTGTCAAGATTCAAGAACATGGCTTACTTTTTTTTTTCTGTGAACAATGCATCAAGACGATGCTGACACATACTGGCCGCCATCTTGTTCCTGAACATAACAAAAATGGCAACTGATAAAGTGGTTTTTTTAACATGTCCTGATATACACCACACTTATTGTTCCCTGTCAAAAGTCATGCTGTTTCGTACGCATATATGTGTGTATATAAACCTCATATTATTGAGTAATTATAACGGTTTTAACATGAATCAGACACATAAAAAGTCTTGATGGGGGGGGGGGGTGCTCTGATGGAAAACCTTAAATAATACTGTATGGAATCATATATAACACAAAATCCATTCACATGCACCTTCCTCTTTTTTCTGTGTTTCAGTTTCTGTGCCAGCTGGCTTCCCTGACCATCCTCACAGAGGTTCGTAGTAACTTGATTTCTTCTTAGACCATGAATCGATTAGTACTTGAATACTGTAGGAAAACGATCATCAATCCTGACCTTTTGTTTTTTTCCCTTCGGTGTTCCACGTCCTACCTCAGGATTTGAGAATGTCACCTATATGCTCGAGGTATGAATTCATATGGTTTTCTCATGATCCTTATGACTCCTTACTCAATACTGTTTGCATGGGCTGATATAAATAAAATTTAATCACGTTATTTGTTTCGTCAATTTAAATTGCTGGCCAAATTAATTAATGTTTGTCCACCGGCTGCTTTCACTTTCAGGGCGGCATCAGTTACCATGACTTTTCAGGACACAAGGGAACCATCAACACAGGAGACGTTCAGGTTAGGTCTCCCGTCAACAGCAGCATTGAACATGCAAACACTATGGCCCTGTTCGTTTGGCTTATAAGTCGTATTTTTTTAGACAACGAACATTATTTTTCTCTCACAACAAATCAGCCAACAGTACTTTCAGCCATGACTTATCAGCCAAGCGAACATGGCATATATTAAGAGCCGGCCTATTCCTTCAATTCGCTGGTCCCTGTTCTATTCTAATTCTAATAGTAGATTCAGTTAGGATGTTGTTTGCACAATTTTCTGAATTTTAATATTAGCTCAATATTGTTTTCGGTGACTGCAGGCCGATAAAACACAAATTCGCTAGTGAAGAAAAGCAGGGAGAAAAAAAATAGTTGCCCGAAACTCAAACCCCCCTAGAAACTAATCTCAGCTTCACCTTAAGTTTAAGGGTTATGCAAATCAAATTCTTTCATAGTGAAGAAGTAAGCAAAAAATTGTCAATTGTTCGTGAATTATATATTGAAGTTGCTAGGTATAAAAGAAGCACAGATCAATTAAAAGGTTAATACCAAATATACCCTGTCGTAAAAGATGCATATGATGCTTGCTTGAGTGTGAAAGCAAAAGGCGCTTCGGTCCATGCATGCAAAGTGGATGTAGGCATGTAGCATGTCCGGACCCGGTTCCTTTCATCCTGGCGGCCGGCCTCGTGTCAAAATCCTCCATCGAGCATTAATTTGAGCAAGTCAGAGTCCAAACCACGCATCAAAAATATATAGCGGCGTGTAGAATTGGTCAGACTAGTGCGGGCACGAATATACTAATGCATGCTCGTAACAGAGTTGACATGCATGTGTATTGTATTTGTGGTCGGCCATCGTGTCGATCGTCAACTGACTCGCCGCGGTAGCGGTACGTGTGCTGTGTGCATGCAGTGGCTGACGGCGGGGCGCGGCGTCGTGCACGCGGAGATGCCCGCCGGCCAGGGCGTGCAGCGGGGCATCAACATCTGGATCAACCTCTCCGCCGCCGACAAGATGTATGCGTTGCGTGCATGCGCATCATCATCATCATTCCTCATCTTCGATTATGTGCCGGCGGCCATTACTGGTTCCTAACAGCATACCCTGACTGTATGCATGCTGCGTGTGCAGGGTGGAGCCGAGGTACCAGGACCTGGCGAGCCACGACGTCCCCGCCGTCGTCACCGCTGACGGCGTCTCCGTCAAGGTCATCGCGGGCGAGTGCCTCGGGACGCGGTCCCCGCTCCTGCCGCGCACCCCGGCGCTGTGCCTCGACGTCGCCCTGCGGGCCGGCGCGCGCCTGCGCCAGCCCGTCCCGCGCGGGTGGAGCGCGTGCGCGTACGTCATCCACGGCGAGGCCGCCTTCGTCGGCAGCGGCAGTGACGGCGGCTCCACCGTCGCCGCCGCCGCGCGCACGCTCGTCGTGTTGGGTGGCGACGGCGACAGCGTGGAGGTGCGGGGCTGGGCCGATGATGCAGCGGGGCAGGGCCAGGGCGCCAGGGTCCTGCTGGTGGCGGCGCGGCCACACGGCGAGGCGGTGGTGCGGGACGGGCCCTTCGTCATGAGCACCCGGGAGGAGGTGGAGCAGGCAAGGGAGGACTACCGCCGCCGCCGCAACGGCTTCGAGATGGCCGACGGCTGGACCTCCGACCACGCATCCACCGTTGCAATGCGTTGATAGGATACACGGTACACCTACCTCCTAGGCTAGCCGCGCGTGGATGGATCGCAAGTATAGTATCTAATAAGTTAAGTTGTGGAATTTTGCCCAAAAATATATATGTTGGCTTCGTAGTAGCATAGAAAAGTGTTTGCAATAAGGTCAAATATTATATAATCAATTTGGAATCCGGCGCCAACGAGTATGTACTTCTATAAAAAATGTGGTTAAACGTGCACTAAGGCACACAAAAGAGAAAGAAAGAAAGAAAGAACCGAAGGAAAATACCTAAAAAACATCACTCATTCGTTGCAAATAACAAGTACAATTACTTTTCTTTTTGAATTACGACGCTCATAACGCACGTACACTCTAATAAAGCCAGCTTCAAAAAAAAAATTCGGTAAAGCCATATGTCAGCTTGACAAGCTTTTTGTCACGGCCCGGTAGGCCAGTGAGAAAGAAGTGGGAGTCTCTGGCTCAAGAGTAAGGACAAAATTTCTTATTTGCCTCAAAAACTTAATTGGCTTCCTTGTGGCGAAAATATATCTTCCCTATTTTACATATGGTATATTATTTGTACCCATATTGCCTTACGGATAGTTTTTTTTTTGAGTTTATAGAGTTAAAATGCAGCTGAAAATACTATCTTGCCTCATTCTTGTTCTAAGTTTCAAGTACAAGTGCCGAGTACGTGGACCTCCAGTATCCCAATCAAGATCATAATCAGTACTCGAAGCCAGGATACGTTGTGGGCCAATATCTAAGAAAAGCACTAACCAACAGGACCCTGAGTTGAAGAATGAGAACGCCACTTAGCAGAGGAAACACTCTAGATAAGCATCTGAATGAAGGCATGAAGCTACAGTGCACTTTAGCCTCATTTGGTGCCGCTCGTGGTGGCTCTGCCTCCCGTATATATGGCCAAACGGGCCGCCCGGCACGGCACTGGCACGGCACGGCCAGGCACGGCACTACGCGGCACGGCATGTTAGCTGTGCCGTGCCTGATAGTGCCGCCGTGCCGACTCAGCGGCCTAGGCACGACACTATCATGGCTTAGACGTGCCGTGCCGTGCCACTGGGCACGGCAGCCCGTAATGCTCGTGCCGGCACTGGCATTAAAAATGTCAAACACCTCAGAAACTTCAGAATTTTAACACAAACTTGTATAATATATCAAACTTTGACAGAAGAGATACAAGTTCAAACTTTAACAGAAACTTCAGAAGATCACAAACACAGAAATAGACCAGAGAGCAAAATAAAATTTTATTAGAGCTTTAGTGCAATGGCTGCCTCTTATCGTTGGCGCTGACCTCAACGGTCTCGTCGTCATCTCCGGCTAGCCCGCACATCCGCCTCTCATCTTTGGCGCTGACCTCAACGGTCTCGTCGGAGGAGGGGGCCATCGTCACTCGCCGGCGCCTGGTTCCTCAACGGCTTCACACATAAACAAAGAATCAGTAGCAGATCTAGTTAGGGTTAGGGTTAGGGTTAGGGTTAGGGTTTACAGTACCTTGGCGGCCGGAGCACCGGGAACGCCGGCGACGTCGACGACGCGGGATCCGGCCCTCTGGTTCCTCGACGAATGCGAATCAAGAGGGGACCTACAGTAGGGGAGCACATCAGATCGAGATCCAGGAGGGGATAAGAGAGGAAGAGCCAAATCTGGAGGGGAGCAAAGCTCAACTTACCGACATCCGGAGCACCAGAGTTGCCGAGGGCTCGGCGAGGTCGACGACGGTGACGAATGAGACGACGAGGTGGACGACAAGGCTACATCAACGGGGCGAGATCAAGACGAGGCCGTCTTTGTGTGCTGCCGTCTGTTGGCAAAGAAGTGGCTCTAGATGCCACCGGAGGGCGAGAAGAAGAGAGGAGACACCACCGGAGGCGGAGAGGGAGACGAAGAGAGGAGAGAGCCGCTCGTAGAGGTTAGAGCGAGAGACAGGAGAGAGAGGGAGCTGGAAACAAATGAGCTAGGGTTTCGTCGATACGGGGCGGCGTGGGGGCGCTGGCTTATATAGTCGACCCATCCATCGGTCGGATCCAACGGTCATGAAGGATCTGGGGGAGGGGATCAACGGCTCTCCTTTGCTGGATCCGTGCCAAGGGTGTGTCGGCCTGTTAGCCGTGCCGTGTGCTCGGGGCGTGGTGGCGGCCAGCACGCGGCATCGCTGCCGGGGCCGTGCGTGCACGCAACACGCAAGCGAGGCGGGCTGGGCCAGGCCTGGGCCATGCTTTTTAGTGCCGTGCCCGTGCCGGCCCACCGTGTTAGTGCCATTTGGAAAAGTATAGCCTCCCGGGTCACTTTAGCGTACTGTAGGATGCTGTAGATCACTGTAGCGCTTGGAGAAATGGCTCCACCTGAGAACAACAACGAACAGAGAGGAGCCACGGTATGAATACAAGGCGAGAGCTGCAGCGCCAGCCGGTCGGAGCCCGGCCAAATGGGCCTTATATTGAGAAGGCCATAATACGGTCTTGCCGCACATCATATTGTTTAGTTTTAAAAATATATATAGTTGTGGCCAATTTAAAAAATAATAATTCTCCCTCCAAAAAAGAAACATGTCATTCTAGAAAACTACAAGAATACCCTATGTGTTGGTGTGGGAATCACGTATTAAACTATACTACTTATATTTACTTATATAATTAATAAATATTATAATTGCATATGTTAGTTGATGCTGACGTGGACAGCTTCTTGCATCACGAAATATGATGCTAATGGGATTGAAAATATAAGATATACATATTTCAAACAAATTAGTGTGGAAGTCAAATAATGACCATAGTACCCTTTGCTATGCTCGCCTGTGATTGCTGCAGGAGCACCGAGCACCGTGCTTATTTATTACACATGTCCTATGAAAAGATTGGTTGTCATATGGGTAAAATGTGAGTGCATCTATAACTAAGGAGATGCAGCCATGCAAATGGCGATTGCGAAAATAAAATGCCCAAGGATTAGTCACCCATGTTTAAGGATGAAAACGGATCGGATACAAACGGATATCGCTGATATTATATTTGTTTTTATATTTTTATCTGGATTCGGATAAGGACACACATATATATATGTATGTATGTATGTATGTATGTATGTATGTATGTATGTATGTATGTATGTATGTATGTATGTATGTATGTATGTATGTATGTATGTATGTATGTATGTATGTACACACACGAATACAGTTTGTGTCAGTTACGGATACAAATAATGAGTATGGAATACGGGCCCGTTCGTCAAAGCAAGATGTAAACAGGTAAAAAGCAACCAGACGTTGAATTGAAGAAATATAAAGCCGATCCGTATCAATCTTAATCGGGTAAGGGGTGATTTTGTTACAAATAGTAAGAATACTAGTTATAACAAGATCTATAAGTAGCAAATCTATTAAAACATCAAGGAAACCCTACCAATCTTAATAGATTTAGCCGATAACTAGTTCGTATCAAAATTTGTATGAGATACGAGTCACACCGATGCAACCATATAAATTTTGATAAGAATCAAGGTAACTTGTATCAGTTAATTGCAAGAGATACGAGCCGGACCGATGCAACCTTACAATTAACTGATGATAACTAACTTATACCGTGTTTGTAAGAGAACAGACTTAACTGAGGGCAGCCTTATAAACAAAATATAAGTCATGACGGATACTCACAGACAAACCGGAGGTCGGACTTAACTGATGGCAGCCCTGCTTGCCGAAGAACTCGCCGAGATCTACTCTACTCTTGCTCCTAGGGGGTGGCGTAAACCGAAAAGTAAAGATACTGGTTTTTGATTGATCACTTAGATGTCTGATACAATGACCGGGGACTTATATTTATACCATAGGCTAATGACGTACAAAACTTGCCTTAAAAGAAATATCTAAACAAAAGAAAATATTAAAATATATGAGCCCTAGCTTCCCCTTCTGTAGAATCCTTGCCAATAAAACTTTCTGGACCGACATGTCTTAAGTCTTTGTGCGTAGACATGTTGTCTTGCTGAGTACGTGTATGACACCTAGCCGGCCTTGTATACACATATACATGATATGTGTCCTTGCTTTTCTTCATTCGTTGATGTGCATCTGGACGTTACAGTCACGTATACGTATGTATCTCTTGATTTCTCCCTATTTCAAATATAAACTTGTATGTAAGATTGAATTGATGATTTCTCTTGGACTTGCTTGCCTTGCTTTCGCTCTATATTCCTTCCTTATCCGATCCTGCATGTTGCCGAAGTAAATAACCACAGGTTTTCCTTCCTCTTTTCATCTTGCTTTTCCCTTGTCTGGTCGAACCTGGAAACTTTTTCCGCGATAGCCTGGCATACGTTTATGCATATATTAGCATTACAAGGCATAAAGGACACGCATGTCACGCACACATATCTTAATTCGGCCATCTTGCTTGCTCAGCTATAAGTATGTCAATGATAATTAAACTGGTTTGCCTTCCATTTGCATGCATATTGTGCATATGATCTGATCAGCTTAAGAGTCTCTCTCTCTCTCTCTCTCTCTCTCTCTCTCTCTCTCTCTCTCTCTATCTATCTATCTATCTATCTATCTATCTATCTATCTATCTCTCTCTCTCTCTCTCTCTCTCTCTATATATATATATATATATATATATATATATATATATATATATATATATATATATATATATTCTATTTATTACCCACGGTACTGAAAAATAATCAGTACCCGAGTCTAAATCACCGAGCCAACCACGACACTTCCCCGCGCCGGTCCCCCCACCCCCCGCTCCCACCTCGGACCCGCGCCGGTTCCCCCCGCTCACAAGCCCGGCCCACCCACTCACGAGCTCGAGCTGCTATGCCGCTCCGAAGCTCCCCCACCCACTGACGATTTTCTTTGTGGTTTCTATTTCCTCACCCCGTCTCTCCTCATTCCCTCCCTCTGCCGGCACCGCCCATCCTACCCCTCTCCCTACCACCGCTGTTGCGACGCTGCCTACTTCTCCATTGTGCGGCAGCGC